TCAGGTCACAGGTCAGGTCACCAAAGGTCACCAAGGGTCACCACATGAACCCAACTTTACTAAGGTTGTGCGATGCATGTTTTATGGCCAGTTTTTCATTTCCAACTCAATGGTATTGGTTATAAGACCATCAGGTACGGTTTAGGTCACTTTCTGGTGGAGGTCAGGTCAAGGTCTGAAAAATGACGTCACTCTGACGTCATTAGCGGCTAACCTATCACAGCCTTTGGAAAAAAATTTGGTCACCATGTGCGCTAGCTACTCCCGGGAAGGTACTAAAAGTTTGGTGACGATCGGCGCAGCGGTTCTCGAGATATATCGAAAAAAAAACTAAAGGGGGGGGGGGGGCAAAAAAAATGCCCCCCACCGCCTGGAAGGCTAAGTCCAATAAGCCTACCCTCTCTGACTCTCCTTCCAGCATTTCATCAAGCACCTTCGAAAATGACCTTTCATCATTATTTTCCACTTCCGTGTGAGCAATGAACTTGTAAGCTGACCACTAGTTAATACACTATCATCTTCCTGTTGGGTGCTTGTAGCAAATGCATTATATAAAACGAAAAAAAATCAACACAACACCAAACACCAGTCTTGTTGGTTCCTTTTGGTTCTGCCTGATGAAAAAGGCTCTTTCTTTACGCAAGATCATGAGTATTACTCTTCTATGAAGCCCAGATGCTTTACAAATTGGCCATGAATGATACTTATTATATCAACTGAGAAGCGCAAATCACGATAACTAGTAACAAATGACGCCGATTATTCCAACATGACATAAAAAAATAGACGGGGTCGCCTGTCAATTTTTAGGGCGTTTTTCCACATAAAATGGCGCGGATAAAAACTCCATTAATGCCGCATTTGCCATTGGTGAAACTTTTCACGCCGGCGGATATGTTTTCGCCTGGTTGGTGAAACTCGTCGGCGTTTTTTTTTACAGAAAATTGCGCCAGGCGGCTATTTTTCTGTTGGTAAAACTGGCCTCAGGTCAATTTTGCGACCTCCCATTACAAGTCAATGGGAGAAAACTGAAATGCGCTGCTTTTGGAAGAAAGCAATTAAAAACACTCCCAAACACTGAATTACAAGTAACTTAGAAACACTGAACATGAAAATGGTCCCCCTGAGGTCATCTCAGGTCAGAAAAATTATATACGTCATGTGAGACCACGAATTAGCAAAGTTGAACCATCGGAAAAGAAAGACATGATGGTTGCCGGGCTTTCTATAGACACTTTGAAAGCTTAGATACGGGCAAAAATGCATGGTTTTATTTTAATTGTAAGCTGGTACCTACCTATCTCATGCTTGGTAGTATTCCTTACTAGCATCTCCAAAGTTAACCAAGTGTGAGTATTTCAGTAACAGTCCACAGATGTAGTGATTACATAAATAAATATAGGCTGAGGCAATTGTAATGCTGATTTGCCAAAATTGAATTAAATAGGTAGCTGATGTCAAAACATAAAAGATGCTCACTTGCAGTTTCACGACTTTAAAAAAAAATCTTACCTGGTGGTTGGAGAAGACTGACTATGACATGTTAGCTTGAATCGATTCAACCCTAACTCGCGTTACCTTAAATCGACTCAACCTTTGACATATATGGCCTATTCATATGTGAATCGACTCGACTCATGATTCATTGAGCTTTCAAATTGTTTGATTCGATTCAACTCATGACCAGGGTTGTATACGACTCAATCAATAGCAATCAATTCAATCACGACAAATTTGGGAAACCAATCAAATCAATCAAGTCAGAGCAGTTTTCGGGAATTGATTCAATCGACTCAAACGCGACAATGAAAGGAATCAATCAACTCAATCAAACGACTCAAACCAAGATATACATTAGGTTTTTTGCCCCACCAACTTGGAAAAGTGTCCATAGCAGTCTGGTGTACCTACCTACCTACCTACCTACCTACAGAAGAAACAAAAATATTGTCATTTAAAATTATAAATTGCCATGCCATTCAAAGTTTTTATGTAATAAGGAAGGATACCTAGTGATGGACAGGTGGATCATGATATTGAGGTTCAATGGGTAGAATTGGAGCAGAAGTTTCATTTAATGGGTGCAAAATAACCCAGTAGTTGACTTCAACAAACGCCCCTTAACCCAAATCACCACCTTTCACCTAAAAGTTGTCAATTTAATTTTGGCCATATTCCAGCTAAGTCATCAGGCCATCTACCCCATGTAAAGCCCCCGTCTGTCTCTTATATATGTGAGTTATGCGGAGCTCTTCTGAATTGAACCCTGAACATAATGAACCTAGCTAGGTTACATGCCACACTGACACCATATTGATATGAAAGTGTTGAAAATGTGCTATAAATTTGACAACTTCATTAGGTATGCTTTATGAAGACAGCAGGAAAGCAGGTAGGTACCTACTTACCTGCCTAGATGTGTCACTGGCTACCAACAGTACCAACGAAGGTAGATAGGTTATATGTGAAGAATTCAAAACATTTTATTGCAATACAATTTGAAACTGTTAGGACTGGGGGATAGGGATGAGCATTAAAATATATTTAAAAGGAAATGGAAAGGACAGGGACTCTGGAACCACAGGATAAGTTAAGGACAAAGGAAGAAGAACAATGAAAATTAAATGCCGTTGGTGCGACTGCGAAAAAACAAAGAAAACGTTTTGCCAAGAAGTATGCTAAGCTTTTATAAATCCTTATTCTTCGTCTTTTGATTTTTTGGTAAGATGACGTCATTGATTATCATGTAGTATGGTAGATCATCATAAAATAAATCGGTTGTACAACACCAATTTCGTTTTAATTATTATTTCAATTGAAATAAAACCACTTAATAATATTCGGTAAAATATTTTAAGGAAAATGAAATATGTTATGCCTAGGCTCTCAGGAGAAAAGGATCAACAAACGTTCTGCTGCAAATTAAACAATGCAGCAAATTAGCTATTAATGTAAACGTAATTAGCGAGACGAAAACGGCGCTTTTGTTTCAGCTATTTTTGTAGGGGTTTCAGATATTTATAGAGTTCAGTGGGTTGTTTCTGAGGAGATGTGGAGATGTGAATTAGTAATTAATCACACTTTATTAGTATATAGGGCCTTGCACTTTATCATCTGGATTAAAAAAAAAATTCCTGCTGAGTGCAGAAAGGTAGGTAGGTGCATCGCCAGGTTCTATCACAGGATTGGACTCAATTGGAGCAGTTATTGCAGTTGAAAGTCAAAGTTGGCTGTTCATGTTTAGGCCCTGTTCTTTATTTGGCCATCTACTCCATATTGCAGTTGTGATGACAAGCAGTTTTCAGTGTAGTTTTGTGATCTTTGATGTCATCAATTGGTGTCATTATTTTTCGTCAACTAAAACTTATTTCAACTTTCCATTCAATCGACTCAATCATACGAGTCACTCTAATTTTCGGGAATCAAATCAGTCAACCAGTCGCTAAAGTCAAACGAGTCAGTCAACCAGTCATCTCGAAAAGTCAATCGACTCAATCCAATCAACTCAAAATACGCGCTGAATCAAATCAATCAATTCAATCGACTTGATTGGTATACAACCCTGCTCATGACTAAGAAAAATGACCGATTCTTGAGTCGATTTATGATTCGGCTCTGAGTGGTATACAACCCTGTCAACCATACCAAGTTTCAACATCGCAGCTGGTCTAAAACATGGATAAGAAACAAAAAATTAGGACCTCTTCAAATTTGGTCATTTCATGGCTCTAATAAAACGCAGCGCAGTTACGAATTCAGTGATTAGGGGAGACCCGGGCGGTATGGGCCGGTTTTGCGAAAAGGCAATTTTCTTCCAGTGGGCAGTGGCTAGACCCCAGTTTTCACTCTGAGTGTACGTGAAATTGCCAATCGCCTGCAAAGTGTGCCTGATATTATTTTTATTGATATTATTTACTCGGGAGGCATGGGCCATCGCAGTTTTGAAGAAGTGTTGCGTATTTTTACACATTTAACCACGTAAACTGGTAGCAGTCATTTCGTCATACAACCCACGTGATTTCCAGAATCTTCCTTAGTCTTCTTTGGCAATGAGCGGTGATAATGCGTTTTTGCCCTCTTCGTGTAAAATACGGTACAACGGAAAATTCTTGATAAATTTGAACCAGGCTCATTTATTATGTCAAGCCATCGCTAACATCAAGTTTAAAGCATGCAAAGTAAGACTGGATAGACAATTTGAAGCTTTCTTGCAAGATTATGAGCTGAGATGCTACGCGCATTCTGACGTCCTAACCGGGAGGTTCGGGCCACCCACCCCCCGTGATCCTAAATCAATAAAATGATGCTTTCATTGAATGTTCCCTTCAATAAGTTTTATTTTTGTCGCATAAGGTCGAAAATTTAAGTTTAAACTTGATTCGATCAGAAAAGTACTATTTGTCTTATTTCATGGAACATGATAAGAGTTAACAAAAATAAATAGGTATGTGCTAATGTGACCTCCATGAAGTAAGCTGTTGGCCGCTTATGCGGTACCTGGGCTCTAAGAGAGCTCAAGGTAGAGCCCAGCTACGAGCATTGTTCTCAATGTCGAGAAGAGAATATGAAACATGGCACCGGCCCATACCACCAGGGCAATGGCCCATACCTCCCGGTGTATCTTGATTGATCGAAAAAGCGCATGATTCATTTCAAGTTATCTCGAGACAAACTAGTTGATCCCAGATGCCTAATAGCAGGCACACTTAACAGGCGAAACACAATTGCACGTACACAGAATGAAAAACCAGGTCTAGCCACTACCCACTGGAAGACTATTGCCTTTTCACAAAACCGGCACATATCTCCCGGGTCTCCCCTGTCTTTTGTGTCCCCCCCCCCCCGTCCCCCGCTCAGCGACTTTGACTGCCGGGGCAGCCATCGGTCATGAGCTGGTCCCCAAACCGAGTGTCTGGATTCGCCCCTGTGACCGCCACTGGCGCTGAGCCGCCCCTGTCATTGTCACTGACGCCCAGCTAATGCCTGTCACTATCACTGACCCGTGGATGAGGCCCAGTTTGCGGTAGTCGCGCGAGTTCTCGTAGATGGGAGTGAGAAGCTTGTAGATGTCGTTGACGGCCTCGTGCATGGAGGCGCTGTCGAAGGCGTGGACGGCCTGCTCCAAAAGCGAGACAAGGCCTGGCTCGGTGAAACTCTTCCCGGTGCAAATCCCCTCCTCTTCCGGACTAACCACATCGTCCGACACTGGCAAAGGGCGTCAGGTCGGGTCAGCTCACATCGCTTAGGGGAGAGTGGGGTAATTTGGCCCGAGGTGTAAATTGGCCGCCCCCACCTGTACGAAAGCTGATAAAAATGAATGAAATAACTTCTCTATTCATTTGTCATCGGCAGAACTAACTCGAGAACAAATGTCAAAGCTTCCCCCCCCCCCTTAGTTTTATTCAAAATTAATAAAACGTGAATTTCGTTAGAAAATGGTAGCTTTTACTTCCGTTTAAAAATTTGTATAACACGTAGTATTTGGGCTGTAAACGAATTCCGACATTATAGCGCCATTCTGGAGTGTGTTCAGCGATTCCAAGAGCAAATTCATCTAGTTCTGTACAGCCATGACGACTTAATAGGCAAAAAATTTCAGAATGGCAATGTGGGGTTATTTGGCCGGGACTAGCGGGGCAACTTGGCCGGTGCGCTCAGAGTCACTATGCTGGGACGGCCGAGTTGTCATGGTCAATTATACCATAAAGGACATAATTCATGACCAACTTTGACTACCTTGATGCCATATTTCCTATTGGATAGCTCTGTGAGGGCATGTGACGTCATCAATGGTTACCTGACGCTTTTTTGCTAATAAATACTTACAGACAAAAAGATACAGCCGCGCAAATGGTCTCATTGTATTCAGCCCGTCAAGGCGCATCGAATGATATACATGATGACCTTGAACTCACGTAACCTTGAGGTCAAGCGACCTGATGTAATGTAACAAAGTTCATCCCCAGCCCCCTGCCTTAGGGGAGAGCGGGGCCAGTTGAAACACGGGGTCAGATGAAACATGGCTTTATTTTCAACAGTATGCAACATATGGCGTTGCCGACACCACTGCGCATTCGCGCTCGACCACTTCCTTTGTCAACGGCGTTTGGGCGGCAAACGGACGGTAATTTTGATTTGACACTTGTTTTTGTGTTTTTGAGGGGCGTTTGGGAGAAATCGTTCTTATGAATATTTTGTGATATCTTATATACTTTTGTTTGATGAAAGAAGAACTCCTGGCTCCGGAATAACACCTTATTTGGCCCTTCATTCAGCATGATGCCGTCCCTCCAGCTCGTTGAGGGTCAGTTGAAACAGGGCCACAGGCCGTTTCAATGGACCCCGGTGACCTTTGCAATGGTTATTGTTCAGGGGCTGTAAACATTAAAGGAAATAGTCCACCTTTGAAATGAGCTTTTAAACTGAAATACTAGTTTAATAGAGCTCAATTTTTGACCCCTTTTTCTCCAGCCTTTTGCTTGAAAGCACACTATAGCCTGAGATATTTCTCATTTTTCTCATCCGCCCATTTTACCATAGTCTATGTACTTTATGTCACCTATTATGAGGAACTTTGCACTTTTAGCTTTCCAACGACCTATTGAATGTAGCATTTGGAAAAGTAAACCGGACAAAATATCTCCTTAAGAAAGTGGCCTTAAAGAGGAAAACATCCCATTGTTAAGGATAGGTGCAATTGACCCCATGGGCTGGTTCAATTGACCCTCGCATCGGGGTCATTTGAAACGGGCGTAGAGCTGTTTTATAAGCATGCGTTTGGCAGTAAAATATGTTTGAAACATGATTTTACATATCTTAAAATAAAACCAAAAGAACATATTTTTTCATGGCATTGTGCATTTTTCGATATCACAACTAGATCTCGCTGTGCATGTCAATATATAAAAAGTGGTTCAACTGGCCCCGCTCTCCCCTACTAACAATGTCCTTTTATGGTCCTCGTTCCTTACCTGTGACGCCTGTCCTGACCCGCTTCTGATTGGTGTTATGATATGACATACATGTGTGACGTATGTATGACGCGTGGTATATGTCGCGCCGGAGCGGGCCGAAGCCCGGCAGTCGAGGGGAGATAATTCTAAGACAGCAACGGACTCGGACCGTGTGAGGGCCGCTCCCTCGCCGGTCGCTTATCTTCTCTTGTTCTTTTCGGCTCGTCATCTCGATCGAACTCATTATCTCGGACATTCAAATATAACGTGAAAAGTGAAACGCTGTATTTTAACCCTCGCACCGACGGGGGGGCGGATATCCGCCCCCCCCCCTGAGGTTTTTCGCGAATAGCGGGAAAACCGCGGCGCGTAGCGCCGCGAAATTTGGTATGACTATAACCTCATCAATTTTACACATGGTGTGCAAGTTTGAACCTCCTACCTTTTAAGGTCAGGTCACCAGGTCACTTTGAATGACCCAACCTCAAGTCACTTTTTTGCAACTTTGTCACCGTGCCAGAGCTACAGTAGATGTCAGAGTCCTTTGAAAGTCGCAGGATATTATAAGGTCATTAGTAGCTACAATTTGTATATCTCGGAATTTCGATATCGGTGACCTAAGGTCAGGTCATTTTCGCGACCTCCCCATTATAAGTCAATGGGGGAAAATCAACTCCCTGTTTTTACCACTAAAACGGGTCGGAATGGCCCCATATACCATACATGACTTCATATACGATCAACCTTCACTACCTTGAGGTCTGTTTTGCTGTTGGGCAGCTGTGAGGTCATGTGACGTCATCAAAGGTCACCAAAGGTTTTTGGCCAATAACTCCGTACAGGAACAAGATACAGACGCGTGGATGGTCTCATTGTGTTCAGCTCGTCAAGACGCATCGAATGATATACATGATGACCTCGAGGTCACGTGACCTGAGGTCAACCTTTGACCTTGACCTTTCGAGGTCAACATATATATCACTCGATGCGGATTGACGAGAGGATCACGATGATGCCCTTAGTTTGTTCCTATCTTGACTAATTCGAAAGTTATTCGAGAAAAACTCTCTCCATATCTAGCGCCGCCATTTTGACTTTTTCGACCCCTGTGACGTCATCTTTGACCTGACCTGAAAATGACCTTAGTAAAAATTGTAGATCTTGGCCGTGCGTATCCGATGCCGTTTACCGCTTGTCGCTATCTTGCTTCGTTCTCGAGATCTCAGGGGGGGCGGTCATCCGCCCCCCCCCCGTCGGTGCGAAGTTGGCGCAGACCCCCGTCGGTGCGCGGGTTAATTATCACGAACTTTATTACAGGTAACGTGACCTGAAGCCACCTTTGACCTTAACCTCTCGAGGTCAACACATACATGTTTCGATGCGGAATGACGAGAGAATTACGATGGTGCTTTTAGTTTTGGCCTAGCTTGATTACTTCAAAATCTATTCGTGAAAAACTGTCATCGCAGCTAGAGCCGCTATTTTGACTATTTTCGACCCCTGTGACGGCTGAGTCAACCTCCAAAATGCTTTAAATGCGTCGTAGGACACGCGTCATTGCTGAATGTGAAGCTGACTCGCCTATAACAAAAATCATGGCCTCAAACTAACACCGGCCAAATTGCCCCACACCACCGGCCAAATAACCCTGCTAGTGGGGTAATTTAACCGCTTTGTAGACCTTTGTAATGCGTCACAATTTCAACATAAGTAGTTACTCTATCATTTCAAGTTTACTGTCCAGGAAAGTCAAATGTATGCCACACCTGTCAGCGTTGAGAAAATGCAGAAATTTGTGGTCGATTTTTAGTTACATCGTTTTCTGAAAAAGCGGCCAAAATACCCAACTCTCCCTTACTGGGTAGTGGGCAGGGCCTCCTCTAAGGAATTTTCACTGAGGGGCCAGAGGCTCAGAAGCCAAACCTAGGGTAGGGGAGAGTGGGGAAAGATGCCCAGGGTTTTACTATGTCATATATTATTCGAAAATGACGATGGGAAAGCAAAAACTTGGAGTTTCAACGAAAGCCGACATCATTTTTCTCCAAAAATATCACACTTTCGTGCCTGAAATATTATTACTTTTTTTTGCTATTAAGCATTTTCCTGAAGAAGTGAAAGGGGGCATCTTACCCCACAGGGTGGGAAAGACGCCCCCTGACGTTGGGAAAGATGCCCCCTGCACTATAAGTGACATAAATGGGCACGTGAATCGCCTGAACGAATCAGTAGTCCCTTCGAGCCTGCAGTAGACACCAAACGTCATCATAAGGGCCCTCAAAAGTAGTCGTAAGGGGCTTCAGAGGTCATCGTTAGGGCCATCATAGTCCAGCGCGGCCAAACAAGCCTCCGTGGTGGCGTTCGGAGACCACTGTGGGGCTCTTATAGGTCTTCATGATGCTTGAGGGCCCTCGAGCCCATCGTGGGGACCTCCGATGCCAGTGCGGCCCGTGGGGCCAACGTGGGAGCCCTCAAAGGATGTCGTGATGGGCCCTGGAGCCAATAATTGGGCCCACAGAGGCCGTCGTGAGGGCTCTCAGAGTCAGATGCCGCCCAAAAAGCCGCTATGTGGGCCGAGAGACCGGCATGGGGAGCACCCGACCGTACTGGACTCTCAATAGTCCCAGATCGGCTTTTGTCTACATCACAAGTATGTAATAAATGATTTGACGGGCTGTTTGAAGGACAGCCTACGGATTTAGGGGGGCGTCTTTCCCCATCAGGACAGGGGGCATCTTACCCCAAGGTACCGAAGTAACATTAAATCAGTACAATTTGTTAGCCATAAAACTACACCATGAAACAAACTGTTTGGGACACAGTACACGCATGCTAATGTATCACGACTATAGCAAGGGACGCAAAAATTATTTACCTTCTTTGATATTTACAATGTTCTGACACCAAAATATTTTTTGAAAGCAGCAAATAAAAAACATGCAGTCATCAGCCAGCCGTTGCCCAACTGAGCTTCGCAATTTTTTGTGCCGTTAACAAGGCAGGCTTCCGCTTAACGCTAAGAACATTAATTTCCAGGTCCGATTCTTTGTTTCGTCGCTAGAGGGGGTGGGGCGTCTTTCCCACCCTGGGCATCTTACCCCACTCTCCCCTACCCCCAAATCCAGTTTTCTCATCCAATTTAGGCCACTTAATTTTCGTCGCAGCCCTGATGCCATGAATTTTCTTTTTTATTTCGGAAAGAAATATAATAAAAAAAAAAATGGTGGGCCACCTGACCCAACTGGTGGATCCAGG